CACTTTTGCCTCAACTGTAAAAATCACCATACCTATGGGGCTACACGCAAGTTTCACAATGGAGCCAACAGCAGCTTCATGGGTCTGCTTGCTGCGTGTTGTGGTTGCAGTCAGAAAAGCACCAGGGAGCATCTGGGAGGCACAAAACTCTCCTCACGCATGTGATGCAAAGTCTTTGTGTCGTTCCCCCCCCCCCCCAACAAGCACAAGGCCTTTGTAAAGTAGAGCTGGATCAGTAAGTTCCTCATTCCCTGCGGTACGAAGACTGTTTCACCCTACAACTGTCATTTTCAAAAATGTTTCACTTCATTTATACTCCACCTTTGCCCCTTCCAGTGGGGGCCCAAAGCAGGGGATCCATCATTCTCCTCTCATCCATTTTACCCTCACAACAACCCTGTTGTGTGGGACAGGCCCAAGGCCAGCTAGCAGACTTCCACATGGCAGAGTGGGAATTCTAATCTTGGCCCCCCAGATCCTAGCCTGACAGTCTAACCACGATACCACACTGCTGTAAACATTAATTTATGCCACCACTGGCCGTTGGCGGGGGTTGGGAGCAGTGCTCCCTCTAAGCTGAGTTAGTGTGAGCTAGCTCACAGTTTTTTAGCCTCTGGCTCACACATTTTTGTCTTCGCTCAGGAAGAATGGCTCCAGAGCAAACTAATTTATGCAGTAGCCAAATGGCTTGCTCACAGCTTTAGTGTCAGTAGCTCACAAAGTAGAATTTTTGCTCCCAAGACTCCACAACTTAGAAGGAGCATTGGTTGGGAGTGTAGGGTTGCCAGATCTAGGCTGGGAAACTCCTGGATATTTGGGGATGGAGCCTGGGGAGGACCAGGCCCCAGTTGGGTACAACGCCATACAGTCCACCTTCCAAAGCATCCATTTTCTCCAGGGGAACTGATCTGTGTAGTCTGGAAACGAGCTGTAATTCCAGGGGATCCCCGGGTTCCACCTGGAGGATGGCATCCCTAGTTGGCACAATTCACAGTGCTAGTTCTTGCCTTTAAGGCCATAAACAGGTTGGGGCCAAAGGGCTGCCTCCCCTTTTACTGTCAGCCTGCCAGTTAAGATATGCCTCCCAAGCCCTGACCCTGCCTTCAGAAGTGAGGTTCATTACTACTAGAGACAGGGTATTTTCAGTGGTGGCACCTCAGCTTTGGAATCCTCTCTCCCCTGAGGTGCCCTGACTTCTAAGCGCCATGCCAAATAAGGTCTTTTTATCCTGGGTTTTAACTAAGGGGTCTTTAGCTGTTTTATGGTCTGCTTCTAGCCTTGGGACTCTTTATGGACTGTTTTAGTTTGTTGGTTTTTCTATGCTGTTTTTATGCCCACAGACTGATAATTTATGTTGCTATTTTATGGCACGGTTTTTATTCTTGAGCTGCCTCAAGCATGTTCTGGGCCCCCCAGATCTGAATCTCTACTCCACTGAGTGACCTTGGGCTAGTCATTTTCTCTCAGCGTAACCTTCCTGACAGGGTTTTTTGTGAGGATAAAATGGTAGAAGAGAGAATGAAGTTGTAAGCCATTTGGAGCTCTGATTGGGGAGAAAAGTGGGTATAAATATCTCTATAAATTGTTAATGTATCCCTCTTTTGGACTGGGGAACTAGAGAACCAAGTTACTGAATGAACCTTAGAGTCATTTATGACTGGCATGGAGTTAACATTGTGTACTGAGATAAAGTAGCGGAAAAATTAAAACAGACTGTGATTTGTTCCTTTCGTGTAGGACTCTGTTTCATGTCCACAAGGACTAAAAGATCTCTCTAAAATTGCTCAGGTGTGCAAGCCTGTGAGGGAAATAAATATACAGTTAACATCACCAGCAGAATCTGACCAGCAATGTCCTCTTGTCACCACAATGGCATATCTGCTCAAGCATGTTTTGGGCCCCCCAGATCTGAATCTCTACTCCACTGAGTGACCTTGGGCTAGTCATTTTCTGTCAGCGTAACCTTCCTGACAGGGTTTTTTGTGAGGATAAAATGGTAGAAGAGAGAATGAAGTTGTAAGCCATTTGGAGCTCCGATTGGGGAGAAAAGTGGGTATAAATATCTCTATAAATTGTGAATGCATCCCTCTTTTGGACTGGGGAACTAGAGAACCAAGTTACTGAATGAACCTTAGAGTCATTTATGACTGGCATGGAGTTAACATTGTGTACTGAGATAAAGTAGCGGAAAAATTAAAACAGACTGTGATTTGTTCCTTTCGTGTAGGACTCTGTTTCATGTCCACAAGGACTAAAAGATCTCTCTAAAATTGCTCAGGTGTGCAAGCCTGTGGGGGAAGTAAATATTACAGTTTAACACCACCAGCAGAATTTGACCAGCAATATCCTCTTGTCACCACAATGGCATATCTACCAGGCCACATTTCCTGGAGCCCTCTCAACCGCTCTGTTATGATAATCAGTGTCTATCTTTTGCTCACCCAACCACAGAGAAAGCCACCTCTGCCTCAAAATGATCGGACACGCACCAAAGAATGACAGCGTCACCTCGACAGGCTGCACAGTGGCGACAGAAAAGTAATTGTACCACAGATTCCATTTGCAGGAGCCTTGATCAGATGATTTATAGACTCGTGGTGATATTGATAATTCCATCTGCATTACTCTGTCACAGCTTATATATCGGAATTTTGTGTAAAAGTGCTTTTTCCTTGGTAGCAAGTTGCGTCTGGTGAGATGGGTGGGCTTTTAATTCTTATTTTGATTTAGCGGCTTAAAAAAATTATATCCTGCCTCTCGATACAATGGTAAGAATTCTTTTTAAAAAGCAAAACAATAAAATAGTAGGCTAGAAGGATGTAAACTGCAAGAAGAATCAAAGAAAATGTGCACTAAAATAATTTAAAACAATATCAGATGTCGATTCAGGAAGCTTCTAAATCCCGTCATGGCGAACACAAAGGCAGGAAAAAGCCTCTGAAAAGAATCAGAGGATTGAGGTATGAGAAATTGATGCGGCAGCTAATAAAACTCTAGAGGGAAGAAGGATGTAAAAGGCCGGGAAGAATTAAAAACACCTTCCAATGGTACTTAGGAGCTGGCAGGTTCCACACCTGGCAAGATGATAAAGGGAGAAGCATTCCGGAGCTTCTGTGCCCCTGCTGAAACAGCCCACTCACCAGTGTACCCTCCAAGCTGAGTTAGTGTGAGCTAGCTCACAGGTTTTTAGCCTCCGGCTCACACATTTTTGTCTCAGCTCAGGAAGGACGGCTCCAGAGCAAACTAATTGATGCAGTGGCCAAATCGCTTGCTCACAACTTTAATGCCAGTAGCTCACAAAGTAGAATTTTTGCTCACAAGACTTCAGAGCTTAGAGGGAGTGTTGCCACTCACCCATGTAGACTGTGAAAGTGGAAACCTCCTTTGGGAAACCTGCTGAAGCCCATGGAGATGGGAGACACCCAATCAAGCTGATACAGAAAATTTGTTGCAGAGTTTTGTGTTCTTTTTTGGTAAAATGCTCACGTAACAGCAGCAGCAATGGATATATAGAAGTGTGAAAAGATAAAATTATGAATGCACAAAAATACAGGTGCAAAACAACCAGAAGTTCTATGGTACTTTAAGGATTAAGAATTTTTAATTCCGGCATAATCTTTTGTGGACTAGAGCCTACTTTCTCAGATGCTACAAGCGGATCCTTGCTATGCAGTCAGTTTAGGTAGGAGGTATGAAAAAATTTTTTTAAGCTAGTTGGTCTTTAAATTTCCATAGGCGTCCTTTTTATTTCTGCTGCAGCAGATTCCCACTCCCGTGGGCAGTGGTTAGAGTGTACAGCTAGGAAGGATCTAGAACAGGAGTGTCGAACTCATTTGTTATTTGGGCTGGATCTGACATAAATGAGACCTTGTTGGGCCAGGCCATGTATGTCATGAAATGTAATGCCAAGCAGCGGAGATATAAACTTTATAAAGGACACAAAAACAAAGGTTTTTTCCTACTTAAAATAAAACCATGCTTAAAACATTAGCACTCTTGCAATATTTTGTTTATTTAACTATGGCTGCGGTCACACGGAACAGTAGCCACGCTAGAGAGACGGAAGATAGGCGGATTTTCCGGGCGCGATCTCACTGCCACATCTGGGAAGCGTAGAGCTCCCGTGGCTCAACCGAGGCTTCCCTCCGAAGATGCGCGGCAAAAAACGAGTACCTCGGAGGTACTAGTTTCCGGAAACCGTGGGGCAAGGGTGGGCGTCTGACGGCATTTCCGGTGGCATCGGGCGCACACTTCAGTTTAAAAAAGTAAAAAAACACAATAACAATCCCGTTTGCCACGCCGCCCCACTTCTTTGCCTGTGATGTGATTGGCACCTCCCCCCTAGCCACGGGACCTCGACGGGACCTCAACCGGACATCTGCTCTCGCAGTCACGCATTAGTTTGCCCCGCCCCCAGGGCAAACAGCCCCGCCCCCCCCCCCCCGCATTTTCCAGCCCGTGTCTGATAACTGACACCTATTGCTCTAAATTATTGCATCAAAATATCTGTACTATTGCTGTTCAGGTGTGTATCTGTAAGCTGAAAACCTACGATGACGCAGCAGCAGCAGAACTGGAAGAAGAAGCAGAAGACAGCCAGTTCCACTGCGGATCTGATAGAGGCCCTCCGGGGGCCTGATCCGCCCCCCGGGCTGCATGTTTGACACTTGATCTAGAAGGCTGGGCTTGGAGTCCCCCACTCCTGCCATGGAAGCTTGCTGAGTGACCTTGGGGTCAGGCACCCTCTTTCAGCCTAACCTACCTCACACGGCTGTCATTGTGTGGATAAAGTAGAGGAGGGAAGAAGAATGATGTTGTAAGTCACTTCGGGTTGCCATTGGGGAGAACAGTGAGGTGCATCTAAATTAATATACAAACATGAAGGCAGTTCTTAAAGTTCCAAATGCCTGCTAAGGGACCAGCATCTGGAAGGGCACCAATTCGCATGGAAAGCATTTAGAGCAAATGAATCAACAGGCTCAATCTGACCCAAATGGTACCTGTTCCCCGTGTAGAGTTTGCTTTAGCAGATCTCCTTCAAACACCATCACTCTCCCTGTCATGCTGTGTCGGGGTGCCCCGGCCACAATCAGAGCACCCTGCCTTGTGCTCACGGCCACCACGCTGTACCCTGCAGGAGAACATAACAAAAGGAGAGTTTATACATAGTGCTGCCAGTCCAGGTTGGGAAATAGCTGGAGATTTTAGGAATGGAGCCTGGGGAGGGTGGGGTTTGAGGAGGGAAGAAACCTCAGCAGGGAATCGTGTCATAGAGTCCACCTTCCAAAGTAGCCATTTTCTCTAGGTGAACTAATCTCTGCTGCCTGGAGACCAGTTGTAATCCCAGGAGATCCCCAGCCACCACCTGGAGAATGGCAACCCATTGACACACATCAAGGGAAAAACTACTTCCATACTAAAAGCAACGTGCTGTGTATGCAGCTCCCTTCCCAAAAACCCGTCGACAGCATCTCATTCAGATTTCAATAAAGTTCTGAGTAAGGGTTTAGCCTTCTGCTTGAGTGGCTGTTTATGCCTGCTTCTTGCGTTTGTGTGGTGCCAGTGTGTGTTGTTCATCTATGTTCTGAGCTGCTTTTCCATCTTGAATTGTATTTGAACCAGCTGTTCAATTTCACCCAAAGCAAAAATTCAAGCTGAACTCCTGCTCTTGCGAAAATGCAGAGAAATTTCCGAGGGAAGCAAAAGAGAATTTTGATAAGACTAGTAAAATTTCTCTGGTCTTTGTTTGTGGTTGTTTTTTTTTGGTATTGTGTGCGTGCGTGCGCCTGGAAGTCATGGTTGACTTCTGGCAACTCCTAGTGGGGCCTGGACGTTTCAGAGAGGAGGCTTTGACATTGCCTGCCTCTGCGTCCCGGCCCTGTTATTCCTTGTAGGTCTCCCTTCCAAGTATTTGCCAGGGTCGGCCTTGCTTAGCTTCTGAGATCTGACAAGATCAGGCTTGCCTGGGCTATCCAGATCAAGGCTTCTCTGGGGGTTTTTAATGGTGCATCTGTAACCAGAATTTTGTGCGAGGACGTCATCCCAAGACTGTACCCTAATGTGTGAGCAAAGATGGGCTCCCTTATCAACACAGACGTTGGGCGAATAAACAAGCTTGTGACATCCTCCTGCTGGACAAGATTTGTTTTGATCTGCTTCTTCTCATGTTTGCCACAAGATAAACCTTTACTAGCGTGGGTTTAATGCCGGCAATATACTCAAAAGCCATACATTCGTGGGATGCATCATTTATCATTCAGATGGGCATTTACCTAAGTAGCTGTTTCTTCCACCCGTTGCCTCTTTTGATTCATTCAAGAAAACTGCGGTCTTGCTGGCAATGTCATAGAGAAGAATCCCTCCAGACCAGTCAAAGGCTCCAACAGTGCCAAACAGTACATAGCGCTAGACAAGGAATGATGGAGAGCTGGTGAGGTCAATGAATGGCGGTGAGCCATAATAGCTTAGCACAAAACCTCTGCATGTAGAGGAACTCTAATTTGGAGCACCAGACGCTTAAGGCGGAGGACGATTACTTCCTTCTTAACTTGCCCGTGAGATACAACTCACATCCTATGGATGCCGTCGAAAAGAGCAAGAGTCCAGTCGCACCTTAAAGACTAACAACATATGTGGCAGGGTAGGAGCTTCCTTGCTCTTTTCTACTGCTGCAAACAAACATGGTTACCCACCTTGATCTTTCCTATGGGTGATTAGGGTCAAGGGGATGCATCTCCCACTTTCAAAAGATGGAAATTGCAGCACAGGAGGGGTCCCCGCATGAGATAGGGGGTCACAGCACTGAGGGAGGGTCACTCCTTCCCCCTGCACTGATTTCACAACCTACGTCACCCCACTCCCAGGCCTTTTATTTGCTACTTAAGAGAACAGATATGGGTGGATGGTGAAAATGGGGCCGTGTTCATACGAGCCGTTTTGGGCCGGGAGAGGGACGGATCGGGGCCGCAGCAAACGGGTGCGATCCCACAGCAACATCTGGGAATCGTGCTGCGCCCGTTCCCAGCCCGTCCCCAATCCGCCCCTACCAGCCAAAACCCGCGGCAAGGCCGCATCACCGCCGGCCTCGCCGGCACATCCCCGGCCCCCGGCCGTACTGCGCATGCTCGAGCAAGCGCAGTTCGGCAGCCTCCCCCTCCCATTCGTCTCTTCCTCCCCGGCATCTGATCGTGCCGGGGAGCAATGGCGCCACGGCTCAGGGGATCGTGGGATCCCACCGCGGCATCTCTTTTTTGGTGCGGCTTTTAAAAGCTGCACTTTGCCCAGTGTTTTCCCTGCTGTGTGGCAGGGGCCTGGGCTACCCTTTCCTCCCTCTTCCAGTCCCCTCCCAATTCAAGCTGGGTAGCTTTTTAAAACAGGAAATCCATTCATGGGCTCCCTCTGTCTCACACTTTGGCCTGTACTTTAGGGCTGTGCTAGTGACGTCTGTAAACATGTCTATGTGGTCTGATCCAGCAAAAGGGGCCTCTTGTTCCAAATGTTAAACTTAAGGGGCTAATCCTCCAGACATGAAGGATTTCCAGCTGCCGCCTTATTAGAGACAGAGAAACATGGAGCAATCAATGGAACTTGGGCCAAAAGCAGTACTTTGAATGGAGAGACCAGGAAAAGTATATTGGGCAGATTTGTATGTTTGCATCAGTTCTGAATTTCCTAATTTCAATTCTTAGGAGGGCTTCTTTGCTTGACAGCCGCCTCCTCATTGAGGGTGGAGCTTTTGTGGCCTCCCATTCAGTGTTCCCGCTACGGTGAGCTAGTGTGAGCTAGCTCACAGTTTTTTAACCTCCGGCTCACAGATTTTTGTCTTAGCTCAGGAAGGGATGGGACTCCAGAGCAAACTAATTTATGCAGCAGCCAAATCGCTCGCTCACAACTTTAATGCCCGTCACTCACAAAGTAGGATTTTTGCTCTCAAGACTCCACAGCTTAGAGGAACATTAGGAACATTGCTCCCATTCCAGAGGTGGAGTCTCCATCTGCCCACCGGACCATATGCCCAAAGGATGCTCACCTCATCCAGGAGGTGGGTACTGAAGCCGCTTTGGGCCAGCTCAAATTCCAAGACATCTCCAGCCGTACCTGAAAATCAAACAAGGGGCCAGTGAGGGACTCCTCAGAAGAAAAGGAAGAAGCCACCAATGGTTCCCCATCTTCCTAACCTTCTATGCCAATGATCTTCTGTTGCAGGGTCGACAGCAGGGCATTTAAGGCTGAATAATTGGTCACTTGGAAAAGGTGTGTTTCATCTGGATCCGAAGCAATCAGGCGCAACTCGTCAAGGGCTTTCGTCTTCTTGAACGCATTCCCGACCTGCCAGAGGTTCCCAACCCCCAAGAGCAGAGGCTCAACAAAGATGAGAAGTTGGGAGATCCAGGGACAGAGATTCCCGATATCTTGTAAAGTTTGTAACTCTTTTCTGGCCAGGATCCCTCTTTGGGTCAGCACCACGGAGGAAAGGAAATAGGGTTTGTTTCAACCTGGCACAGTTTTGCAAATCAAAAGTGGAACCCCTGTTCTCTTTAAGGGGAAACGAGGGGTCACCCACCCTTTTCCCCTTTAAAAATCTAATGCCAGTATGGAGGGAAGGAGCAGCTTCGATTAGTAAAACCATGTCGGCAGGCCTTTTTTTGTAAAAAAAAAGCCCAGCAGAAACTCATTAGCATAATAGACCACACCCCTGACAGCACAGCTCATTAGCCTATTAGGCCACACCCCCATGCCTTCCCTTGGCTTGCCTGGGCGCCTCATGGCCATGGGGAGCCCGGGCAAGCCAGCCCTTGGACGAGAAACTCAGCAGAAAGGAACGCCGCCTTTCCTCCCCCTGTGAGAGGGCTTGGGGGGGGGGGAGGCACTCCCCCCCTCTCCTCATGACGACCATGGTTTAAAATTAAAACAACACGCTTGCCTTCCAACCCTTTTATACTATAAAACCTATCACTTATCAATTATATACCATTTTTGAGTGCTGAACAGTGCACTCCTAAGGAGAGTTACTCCAGCCTCAGCCCATCCATTTCAATGGGCTTAGACGGGAGTAGCTCTCCTTAGGATTGCACTAGCGTTCCTGCCCCAAAATAGCCCTGTATGCTGGGATCCCCTTTCCCACCCCATGATCACAATCAGGGCTGCAGGTGGCTGTTATGTGACTTTCAAAGATTGGCAGAGATCAGTGATTATGTCCAGCTTGGCCCAGAGAGCAGATAATTATGTATGAATGACAAAGTGCCATGATTGCGTGAGACGTGTTGCGCTGTCACGTTAAGTGCGAGAGGAGGAGGAGGAGGGCTACTGCTGAATTCTGCAACTCTGCCTTCCCCACTTGGAATATCCCCATTTGGGTTTCACTTCTCTCTTCTCTGTGCAACTCAAACCCCAGAGTCTTTCTCTTCATAACGTTTCTTTCTTGCAATTATTATTTTCACCATTCGGTTTACAGAAGAAGCACTTCCCTTGTCTGAGAAAGTTGCAATCTATATTTTGATGGTGAGTGAGACAACAGGGACGGGAAGGAGGCACGGGAACCGCAGTCCAGCCCTCTGCCGTCATAACAGTGGCATTTCATGGACATGTAGTTGAACCCACCAGTAGCCCATAGTAGAGCATAGTAGTGTTGTTTGTTTATGCATTTTTAATTTACGTTATCATTCTAAATGTATTTTTTCCGAAGTCAAGATCTTTGCAGGAGTCACATCTTACCCCAATGGCATAGCGGTCAATCCCTGCCATGCTCTTTGAATTAATCACCGAAGTTAGGTTCATAGGGTCCAGGAAAATTTCCCCATCCGTCAACACAACTATAATCTTGGCAGCATTTTTCTGGGACCCATGACTTTCATGGAAGATCGAATCTCTGTCGAAAATAATAAAACAGCGTTCAGCTTTGCAGCCTTCTGGAAAACATCCCAGAAGCAGATTAATGTGTTACACAGAACAATTCTTCAAGTGCAAACAAGAATTACTTCCTATTTTGACTCCTATTATCCTGCGCCACCCATTACATGTAATTCCATTCAGTTTCCTAAGTTCTTTCATATTCATTACAATGCATATATTTGCGTAACATTGGACATTCTTCAGTTAACCAGGCCCTCACTTGTCGTCTCTCCAAGCTAAAGAGCCCTAAGCGCCTTAACCTTTCCTCATAGGGAAAGTGTTCCAACCCTTTTATCATTCGAGTTGCCCTTTTCTGCCCTTTTCCAAAGCTATAATGTCCTTTTTAAGGTGTGGTGACCAGTAGCCAGTAGCTGTGACTGGCATCCTCAGGGGTATAACACAGACACAGAGAGTACTCCATTGTCCTTCAACTTTCCCGAGTCACCTCTGGCTCCTCTTAAACTCCCTGCTGCGCTTACAGTCACAGCAGCTGAAACAAGAGTCCACAACACACTGCGCGGGATTGTCATAGTGCCGCCCAACGTGCTTCCAGGCAGCCACTGGCTTCTTGACTCTTGGGGATTAAATCCAAAGAGCTTTCAGTGGAATGGGGGAGGGGGAAACATCAACAGGGAAGTTCAGGTTCTTCCCCGGCAGCCAACTGAGGCTACTTCCTGGACAGAGGGCTATTTTCCCAAATGGAAAACAGTGTTGCCTCCACATTTCAAGGGAGCATCCGCATGACACCTGTTCATCCCTGCATGCTTCAGTTGCTGCTTTCTGCTGCTCCTGTGGTGAGGCGTGCATTTTCATGCCTCTTGTGGAACAAGCTAACCAGCAAAGCTCTGAATCTGTGCCAGACAGTGATGTCCTACTAGCTGTGCACCCTCAGATTGGCTATAGACACAGACTTTCTCTTGATTTGGAGAACTCTCCCTGTGCCCGTCTGGGAGCTCAGGGGTCCCCAGCATGGTGCCTCTGGGTGCCATGGCACTGACTGACACCTTTCCTGGTGCCTAGGTTTCCATTGCTCGAAAGCCAGGTGAATCCGACTCTAGGGATGCTGTGCTTATCTCCGTTTCCAAGCCGAAGAGCCAGCGCTGTCCAAGGACGTTTCCATGGTCATGTGGCCGGCATGACTAGATGCTGAGGCACATGGAATGCTGTTATCTTCCCACCATGGGAGCTACCAGCTGTGTCCCCAGCTTGCCGTCCACCCAGCGGTTCGAAAGCTTCGGCGAGTAGATAAAATGGGTACCACTCCTTAGAGAGTGTGGGCACACTTAACCCTCCCCCCCGGTGGGAAGTGTTAGCCGACAAACAGAAGGTCCGCACGTAAGATCAAAAGCCGAGAGAGATCTACGCAGCATCAAAGAAAAGCCTGCAATGGGCTATTCCGGCCAGACGGTGGCAGTGGTGCGCTGCGACTGAGAAAAATGCTGACGACATCAAGCGACGCCAACTAAGGAATGCTGCCAGAACACGTCTGATGCTTACAGCTGACCAAACTCCCTGTCGAGTGCGAAGTGTGTGTGATTAAAAATGATATTATGTTGTCCTCCCTTACCCCCATCATTGTTAGTCCCGTGTCAACACATGAGTAACTGTAAATCGCTCAGAGCCGGCAGCTCTGCAAGGATCGAGTGATCAATAAATCGAAAGATGATGATGATGATGATGGTGATTGTTATTATTATTTGTAATTTCTTGATTCCGAACTGCTAGGTTGGCGGGAGCTGGGGCCAGAGATGGGAGCTCACTTTATCTTGTGGCACTCGAGTCTCGAACTGCTGAACTACCAACCTTCTGGTCTGCAGCTCAGCATCTTAACCACTTGAGCTGCCGCAGCCCCTCCTGGTGTCTACCAAGTGTTTTTAGAAAGTCGGCAGGGCCAGGTGGAGCTTGTGCCCAGCTGGGATTCTGATTGGCTGTGCGGATTAAAAAGCATCCTGTTACACGGAGCTTCTGCTTTAAACATTGGAGAGTTATGCAAACCCCAGCTCCCTTACATTTTGTGGTTGACTTTGCCTCCCGCGGCAGCCATTTTATTGTTGCACCCATCACCCGAGGTCGGAATTCCTGCAATCTCAAAAGGGCTGGGACCCCTGCCCTAGCCCAGCATGCAATTGACTAGATGGAGCTTGACACTGACTAACTAGCAGAAGGGAGCCCAGACCCCTGACCCTATCCCCAGCCAATTCCAGCTGGCAGTAGCTGTAATGTTCCCTCTAAGCTGAGTCAGTGTGAGCTAGCTCACAGTTGTTTAGCCTCCAGCTCACAGATTTTTGTCTTAGCTCAGGAAGGATGGCTCCAGAGCAAACTAATTGATGCAGTAGCCAAATCGCTCGCTCACAGATTTAACGCCAGTAGCTCACAAAGAAGAATTTTTGCTCACAAGACTCCACAGCTTAGGGGGAACAGAAGTGGAGAAAACCCTCTGAGAGTCAGGCAGGGTCTGAAGAGTGGCCAGGTTGCTGAGAGGAGACTTGGGATGGCTGTTGAGTGCTCAGACCCCTTGGAGGTTGGTCGGTGGGACTGTTCCCTCACACCCTTTGAAACCAAAGAATCCCTCTTCCACAGTGCAAAGAACCTCTCCACCTCTTTGGTGCAGGAAGGGCTTCAGCAGAGTCCAGGAGCCCCCCTTTAGAAGGAGCTGTTTCCACCCATCAGAGGCCAACCATGACCTTGGAATCTCCCAACATGGAGCTTCCTAGCATGTGTGGAACTTCCGAACATGTTGTGATTGGCCCCACCACTAGGACAGCTCCTTAGTGAGAATGCCCTCTGTCCACTCTCAAAATTCCCAAAGTGACCACAGGCTCAACAATGCTGGGGACCCTTGAAAAGGGAGGTAGATTTGTAAAAAATTATTATACAGATGATCCACCCTGAGTTAAAGGGAATCTGGGGTAAGTAGGGCTTGGTAGATGACACGAGCAGAATTTTGATAGCAACAACTGGAGAGGCGTACACACCAGCTGTCCACTATTATATTTTTTAAAAAACCAGAAGTGTTTATATCCACAAATCATTACTTAAATAGAACTGGGTTGTGTGTCATGCATTCATAAAACCTGCTTTTTCAAAATTCGTCTGTGGGGAAATTTGGTGCTGTAGGTGACCCCCCACCCTGGCTATGGTCCCAATCCTGCCTTTGCAGTTTTGGGTGGTGCCCCTCCAAGAACCTCCCCATCCCCTGATCATATAACTCACAGGACATGTTGGATGGCAGATGCTGTCCGGGTCACATTGCCCACTTGGGTCACACCCCGAACTTTTGCCAGGGCTGTGTTGGTATCCCGGCCGTCCTGCAGGTCAAATTCTGTCTGGATGACAGCTCCGTACTGGACCAAAGCAAAGGCACACTGAAACGAAAGGACAGTTTTCTCTATTGTAATGCACTAGAATAATAGAATCATAGGCTGAGTTCATACTGGCAGTTTGGCCCAATATAGGCATAATTCAGAAATGTTCCTCGAACGGATTAAAGGGGCTGTTCACACAGGCACAGCTGTCCGGCATTCCCCAGCCATACTCAGCCTGTCTTGTAATGCTTCCCTCCCGAGTTTAAAAAGTACCTCGTGAAAGTGGTAGCAAACCCTGGAGAGCATGTTCATCCCACTTCCCGGAAGTGTGAACACCAAAAGCCGCAATTGCTGATGTGCATAAGTGCATATGCGCATATCTCCGTATTACCGAAAAGAAAGCCACACCTTACAGCCGTGCCTCCACCAGGGGCGGGCCAACAGTGCAAACGCTCCCTTGTGCCTCCTCCCCGGTATGCTCCCGCATCAGTCGGTGCAGTGTGACCGGGAATACCCAGAACAAGTTGTTCCGGGTCTTTTTTGCCACGACTCCCTCTGTCACGGCAGGGCCAGGGAGCGTGGGTTAAACAAGTCAAGTCCAAAGCCAGTCCGAGGTTCAGCCAATAGTTCAAGCAGCACAGAGATTTAAACAAGTCCAAAACAGTTCACAAAGCCAGTGTCAAACATACCACACGTCATAGTCCATAAATCAAGTAAAGCCAGAGTATCGCAGAGCCGAAGTCGTGGTCAAACAATGCCGAGGGTCAGGGAGCCGGAGTTCAGAAGCAGAGTAACAAACGGTCAAGGTTTCAAAGAGTCCGGAGCAAGATTGCACAGAGCGTCTGGTCCTGTCAACTGAAGTTGCCAGTACAAATTGCTTCAAGCAGCAGGTTTGTTGATATAGTGTGCTGGCTCATTAACTTGTTATCTTCGTGGAACAAGGTCAGGCCGCTGTTAAAACTCAGGGCTGAATGAGTGTCTTCTGCACATGCGTGCAGCCTTGCGTCTCTCATTCAGCTCCTATCGACTCCTGAGCCGGTTCACAGGTGGGGGGGAGTCGGGCGGTGATCTGCTTGAGTCAAGCAGAGCCTGATCCGGCACAGGTGTCTCCTGGGAGGTTCTATCCTCCTCAAGACTTACAGTGTCTTCTGTTAAAGGAGTCAGTTCTTGGCTGTTAGGCTCTGCCTCTGTGGTCACATCAGGGGCTTGTGGTGCCAAGTTCCCTTGTTCCTGGCCGTCAGATGCTACATCAGGGGCAGGCATGACACTATCCCCCCCTCAGCCCCCCCCCTCCAAAGGGCCAGGTTTGTCAGGATAGGCCTCATGGAAGCGCTGGACCAAGTCAGGGGCGTGCAAGTGAGAGGCAGGTTCCCAGGAACGATCGTCCGGGCCATAGCCCTTCCAGTCTATTAAGTACTGCAATGTTCCCCTATGCAAGCGGGAGTCGAGGACCTGCTGGACTTCGTACTCCTCTTCCTCATCGACCAAGACGAGTGGTGCTGGCGCTGGTGGAGTGTCCCAGTTCGGGTCTGGAGGGGCCGCTAGTTGCAGTAGGGAATGATGGAATACGGGGTGAATCCGGAGGTGAGCGGGCAGGAGTAAACGAAAGGCCATGGGGTTGACCTGAGCGTCAATCTTGTAAGGGCCGATAAAGTGGGCGTTTAATTTGGCAGAGCGACCCGGAGTCCGAAGATAGCGGGTGGAGAGCCAGACTAGGTCGCCGACTTCTTGTCGGTGGTGATCGGCTGCCAGTTTGTACGCGTCCTTGGCGTGCTGTAGCTGATCCCGGAGTAAAGCGTGGAGGGCATGAAGCTCTTGGATCCTGGCATCAGCGGCTGGTACATCAGATGGGCGTCCGACAGGAGAGAAAAAGCATGGGTGATAGCTATAGTTGGCTGCAAATGGTGTAGCTTCAATGGAGGTGTGTACCGCGTTGTTATAAGCGAACTCTGCCAGCGGTAACAAGGAGTACCAATTATCCTGTTGGTACGTGGTATAACAGCGGAGATATTGTTCGAGAGTGGCATTTGTTCTCTCAGTCTGGCCGTCTGTTTGGGGGTGGTAAGCGGAGGACATGTGAATTTCAGTCCCCAGTCCGCGTTGCAACGCCTGCCAGAACCGGGAAGAGAACTGAGGGCCCCGATAGGATATGATACGGGCTGGAATACCATGCAGCCGAAAGATATAGTGTAGGTATAACTGCGCAGTTTCTGGCCCTGTTGGGATTTTGGGACAAGGAACAAAGTGAGCCATTTTGGTGAGTAGATCTACTACTACGAAGATGCACGTGTGCCCTTGTGATCTGGGAAGGTCAACAACAAAGTCCATCGATATGACCTCCCAAGGGCTAGATGGAACAGGAAGCGGTTGAAGGAGACCTGACGGTTTGGCAGGAACCTCCTTGGCATGGCGGCAGACATCGCATATACTGACATAACGGTCGATGTCAGCCCGAACCCGGGGCCACCAAAAGTCTCGGGTTAAAAGATGGGTGGTTTTGTGTCGTCCAAAATGTCCAGCTGGAGGTGCATCATGAGTGAGGTGCAGAATGCGGGTTCTCAGGGGTCCTGGAGGGATGTAGAGTTGGTCACGATGGTAGAGCAAGCCGTCTTTAGTAGTCATGTCCCTGGAACAACCTTGCTGTACTTCCTGAAGGCGTTGTTGAGCCCAAGGGTCCGTAGCCTGATGAGCCCGGGTGTCTCCAGAGAGGGATGCAGAGTCTGGAGTGGCGGCAAAGACCGTAGGTGGCAGGATGCTGGTGTCGGGTGCTTCATTGCTGGGCGTGGGTGTGTATTCCGGTTTGCAGGACAGAGCGTCCGCTTTTTGATTCTGTGTATGTGGGATATACAAGATCTTGAAATTGAACTGGGAGAAGAAGAGGGACCAACGGATTTGGCATTGGTTTAGGCATCTGGTCGTTTGGAGGTGCTCCAAGTTTCTGTGGTCCGTGAGTACCTGCACCGGATGATGGGCTCCTTCGAGGTGGTGACGCCAGACCTCGAAGGCGGTCTTGATGGCTAGCAACTCCCTCTCCCAGATGGTGTAGTTCCGTTCGGCTGGAGAGAATTGCCTGGAGTAATATGCACAGGGTTGCAATGGCTGGGAGGGGTCAGATCGCTGAGACAGAACTGCCCCTAAGGCCACACTAGAGGCATCGGCTTCCACGATAAAAGGAAGGTTTGGATCGGGGTATCGCAGTAGGGGGCCGGACGCAAAGCGTTGCTTCAAGATGGCGAAGGCTTTGTCGGCTTCCATGGTCCACTGAAAAGGTTCCTTCGGCCGAAGGAGACGGGTCAGGGGTTTGGTGAGGTCGGCATAGGCTGGTATAAACTGGCGATAGTAATTGGCGAATCCCAGGAGGCATTGAACATCCTTCTGGTTCTGTGGAGTCTGCCATTGTAGAATGGCTTCCACCTTCTTGGGATCCATCAGGGTTCCTTGAGGGGAGATGATATGGCCCAGGAACTCAACTGACCGACGATGAAACTCACATTTTTCCAACTTGGCATAAAGTCCATGGGTGCGCAGACGGTGTAACACTTGCCGTACATGCTCTATGTGTTGTGGCACAGTGAGGGAATAGATCAAAATGTTGTCTAAATAAATAATCATGAACCGGTCGAGGAGGTCGCAGAAGACGTCATTCATGAAGCGTTGAAATATGGCAGGGGCGTTGGTCAAGCCAAAGGGCATGACCAAGTGTTCGTATTGGCCATAACGGGTACCGAAGGCGGTCTTCCATTCATCTCCTGCCTTGATTCTAACTAGGTTATACACACCACGGAGGTCTAGCTTGGTATAAATCTGAGCTCCCCTCAAACGGTCCATGAGCTCAGGAATCAACGGGAGGGGGTACCAATCACGAACTGTTATTTTGTTCAATGCCCTGTAATCATTACAGAGTCTCCAGTCTTTTTTTTAACAAAGAGAACTGGGGAAGACAGGGGAGAGGTAGAGGGCCGAATAAACCCTCTGGCCAGGTTCTTATCCAAATAGTCCCTTAGCGCAGCCAGCTCTGGTTCTGCCATTGGGTATAGGCGGCCTGTGGGTAAAGGAGCGTCAGGTATAAGGTTGATGGCACAGTCGTAGGGCCGATGCAGGGGTAGCTGGTCTGCCTCCTTTTCGTCAAAGACGTTCGCAAATGGTTGATATGGAGTAGGCAGAGGGGGGGCAGCAGCTCCTAGCAACAGGGCAGCTGGTGCTGGTTCCGGCGGTAGTTCTGGAGATGGGATGTCTACAATCTTCTCCATGGAAGGTGTGGACGCGGGGATGGTCGCAAAATGGAGGTCTTGATGGATCCAGTCAACTTGAGGGTTGTTGTGGCGCAGCCAAGACAGACCAAAGATGACAGGGAACCGAGGCATCCTCACCAGGTCGAACGTCAACTGTTCGTGATGTTGCTGCACCCATAGAGTAAGTGGCTGCGTTTCTTGCACTACGGGTCCGGAGCGGAGTAGGCGTCCATCAATGGCCTCAACAAGAGCTGGGGTTTTCTTTTCCATGAGGGGGATGCCATGTTCTTTGGCAAAGAGAATGTCCATGAAGCAACAGGCAGCTCCCGAGTCCAGCATGGCATGGATAAATAGCCATCTGGGAGTTGTAAACGCACCGGCAACAAGAACGGAGTCTGGGGTGGGTAAGAAGCACTGGAGGACCCCAGGATAGGCCCCAAACCGGGGGGTCCAGTCAGGCTTGGGGCTGCTCTTTTACCATGGAGGCTGGTCCTGTTGGGCGTTTCTGTTTGGCGGGGCAGCCAAAGGAAAAATCCCCTGCTTCTCCACAGTATAGACACAAGTTTTGTGTGCGCCGTCTCATCTTCTCCTCAGGAGTCAGGCGGGACCGAGCGATGCCAAGTTGCATGGGCTCTGTGTCTGTAAGAGACGTGGAGGGGCCTGGAGAGGAGGTCCTTTGGAATGCCTGGAGGGTTCTGGAGGAGGTGAGAGGTTTTTTTTTCTGTTTTGGCGGCGGCTTTGCAACCGTCCGTCAATGCGTAGACATAGATGGATGAGGGCTTGCAGGGTGTCGGGTCGTTCACTGCGAGCCAGTTCATCTAGAATTTCATCAGACAGCCCTTCAGTATATTGATCAATAAGGGCTGCCTCATTCCAGGCCAGGTCTTGGGCTAGCAGCTGGCAGTGGTGTAATGAGAGACTGAGGTTTTATGTTGATTAAGCGTCCTTATGTTACAGTTAGCTGTTTCTGATTTCACAGGGTTGGCATAAGCGTTAGAAAAATAAACGTTGAAAGCCTGGTAATCAGACAGTAAGGGGGAGTTCTCCACCAGCAAGGGTGTGGCCCATTTGGCAGCTTGCCCTTTAAGCAGGCTCAAAATGAAACAGACCTTTGTTTTATCCGTAGCAAAGTCCCGAGCACGGAGTTCCATATAAAGGTTACATTGAGCCAAAAAAGCAGGGAACTCGTCTACATTCCCACCAAACCGGTCAGGGGGATTCAAAGGACAGCGTGTGGGAGGTGTAGCAGCTACTGCCAGAGCAGCGGCGTTTGCGGCTGTTTGCTGCTGCAGAGATTCTACAGCTTGTGTTAATTGCTGCACCTGATTTAGTACCCCCGAAAGTGGGTCCGTACCTCCTGTTGCTCCGTCCTCCATGGTGGAAACGAGTGAGCGTGATGGGTACTGGCAATCTGTCACGGCAGGGCCAGGGAGCGTGGGTTAAACAAGTCAAGTCCAAAGCCAGTCCGAGGTTCAGCCAATAGTTCAAGCAGCACAGAGATTTAAACAAGTCCAAAACAGTTCACAAAGCCAGCGTCAAACATACCATACGTCATAGTCCATAAATCAAGTAAAGCCAGAGTATCGCAGAGCCGAAGTCGTGGTCAAACAATGCCGAG